AAATAAACTACAAACAGACTAGTAGATTAATAAATAAATTATGTTGTACTTTCCTTTTGAGGTTTGCAACTGTACCTTAGTCAGTTTATTAACATTTTGGTCCTCCTGTTCTCAATGTAGCAAAAAAAATATATAGCATTTCGAACCACCCGTCGTACCGCATGTTATTGCTTTCCCCTGTCAAACTAATGGGATAATAAATATTAGAAAGCAAAGGGAGAGCAGGTAAGTCGAATCTGGCAATTATTTCAACATGAGGTCAGAGATAATAAGAATATTAACCAGACAGCCGAACTATATTAGGTTTCAATTGTTTTTCGAAAAGTTTTAGATCATACGCTTTCTCGTTTATGGTTATTGACTACTAATTAATGTAAAATGTGATACCGCGATTACTTGTTTCATTGGAGTAACATTAATATGATTAGTATGAGTAGTAGTATCATGTTCGTTTCACTTTTCACCCCAACTGACCTCTTTAACCAACCAATTGGAAAAGGCAAAAAATAAGAAAACAGTGATAATACCAAGATATAAATTACTCGCCACTTGGATGAAAAATGAAATTAAAACCGCGTCAGCCTGGATGGATTCGGAGTTTTTGTCACATAAATGGATGAAAAAGATTTTCCATCGGAATACAGAAAAACGAGCTAATGGAAAAATCCTGTTCAATCCTCCATCATTCTTGAGCATTTCATGGTTCTTGTGGGAAAAGAAGTGATTTAAACAAAATTTCTAGGCGTTGTCTTTCATTCGGTTTTTTTATATTTAAACTTGTCTCATAACATGTTGTTTTACACGTTTAATGATATATCACTTTCTTCATTGACGCGTCAGCCATAAACCACTCCTTTGTTTATAAATGGTTCGTTTTTCATTATTAGAACCTCAATTTAATCAGTTTCATCCATAAATTTTCCACGAACTTATTTTCGTTTAAATTATACTTCCATGTTGGATCAGAGTTGTACCCTGGCCATTTATGTGAATTTTATATATCTCTGGCCTTTCTCTTTCTTGTTATCGTATTGATTTTGTATTTCCTGTGAACGTGGTCAGACTAGCCAGACAACATGGTTCATCATTTATATTTAATGTTTACTACTTGGATTATTATCATGAATCACATCACGGGATATCCGTTATATTCGTTTTATTAACTTCTCAGTATTTATTGTCTAATAATTTATTTATTAATATTAATTTTCTTGAAGTACTTATCATAACACATATATGAATAATTTTGTGATTTCTTTTTCGTATTTTTGAAATAATTGTGCGTCTGCATAAATATTTTTCACGTTTTTATATGTGTATTTGTCTTATACATTTTGCTTCCCTGACATTTATTGTTCTATGGTCAGTAAATGATTGTAGGCACGTAATAATCTATTTATCTGAATTTTGGTAAATCGTTGTTATCCAAAATTAAAATTATATTTTACTGGAACATCCTGACTTCGCAACGTCTAAAAAGATTTATATTTCTGTTTGTAATCAGTGTGAGATAATGTGTAAAAGATAAAGGCGGGCATGTTAGGGGGAATTATATAGTAGTACGTCTTGTCATCGTTTTGGTACATCCAAGATAAGATAATAAGAACGGATGATGTGTTATAAAAAAAGGAAAAAATGTGAAGAAGCCCTTCGCCCACAGCTGGACCTAGTTTTAACGGTTGAAGCCTTTTTTTCCCCTTTTGATGACATCTTTGATCATTTCCAAACGGACTAGACATATTATTAAAGGGCGATTTAAAAATTCCACGGCTAATCAGAGAAGATACGAAGACTGATTACTAGACAAAACTGAAAGTGACGGAATCTCACATAAAAAAAAAGATAAAACTTATGATGTATTATTGTTAGTTCAAAAAAGAAACCATCACATATTGTTCTTGGGCATATTTTTAATAAATTGCTGACAAATTAATTCATATTTATTAAAATAAACAAGAATGTTTTTCAAATCGATTAATTTTTGAAAGCGTAGAAATCTAGAAATAGATCTTCCACGTCGAAAAATTAATCGATTTTAAAAACATCCCTGTTTATTTTAGTCAAAATGATTTAGTGCAATTTTAATGATTACAACATTTCTCCTGCAATCAGTGAAAGGAATGGATATCGCGAAGTAAGATCGATTTTTAGAATTCTACATTTTCCAAAAATAACCAATTTTAAAAATTTTCTTGTTTATTTTAGAAAGAATGATTTACTTTAAATTTCGACAGCAAACAATGACAATTGTGTGAAAAAGTAGTACCCGATAGTTTATACATTTCAATAATATTCTTCTTTATTTAGTAAAAATCGGAAATTTCTCGAGCAGAAAATGAAAATGTGAGAGTAGACTGTATATGATATCTATCGACTTGCAAGACCTATCTAGATGTACTACACAATTTCTCCAGAAAACAAGAACAAACTTGAGAAAAGGTACAACTTGAAACCTATCAGGAAGTAGTAAGATCGATCTTTAGACCTAAAAATCCATCCCGGGAACGCATCCCGCAAACTTTAAAAAGAACTTCAGCAGTTGAGAAGACTTCCTTGAGTGTATCACCACTCCCTACTCTGAAAGAAAAAAAATCTACAGCCTGATCCAGATGCGAACGACTTTTCTATTTTGGCATATGCGCCTCAGTTTTCCAATGTCCAACAGATGCCAACAACAGCAGTCAACAGATGTTCTTTATCCACTACAGTTCAGACAGTTCGTGAACAACTTTCAAATTTCATAAATAAATTCAAATCGCTTCTCACTCCACTAGTTACACTCCTAACGACCTTATTTAATCAACTGCGCAAACTCTCAATTCTGAATTCACTCCTTATCCTCCAATGGAATTCAAATGGTTTGATCCCCACAGAAATGAACTTGACACTACCGACACATAGACGTAGCTTTAATTACAGAAACCCATTTTACTAGCAGATCCAATTTCCAAATTAGGTACTATCCTGACAATACTTCGTACGGTGAAACTGCCATCCTCATTCGAAATTCTCTAGTACCTGTTTTTAGTATTAGAAGTATCGACCGCATTTTCACTTACGGTACAGTATCAAGGTTTGGTCTTGAAGAAGAAAGCAAATTTACTTGCTACTGCCAAGCTTTCGACCTATTTAAGGTCATCATCAGGGCAAAACCACCTTGAATATATCTACAGACCTGCCCTGGCAATGCTGTTACAGTGCTTGGAAATGTTGGGACTGAATCGGTCTTAAAGGAAATTTGAGATCGCCAGTAAAAACTTAACTATGTCAATCTGTAGACATTGACAAGATTGTTTTGCCCTGATGATGACCTTAAAATAGGTCGAAAGCTTGACAGTAACAACTAATTTTGCTTTCTTCTTCAAGTCCATACCTTGAACCAGAGTGTTCGTATATTCTCTAGTACATCACTTTAGTCCCTGGTACTCAACAGAATCCGCAATGTCAACTGTCATAATCCTCTTTTCATCCCTCTTTAACCTTACATTTGCACCTTTATATTGACTTCCCAAGAAAAACATCGCAAACAAGGCCTTACTTCCTTCTTTAGAACCCTTTGGACCCAATTTCCTGGATGGAGGCGATTATAATGCGAAACACCAACAATGGGACTGTCGTGAAACAACCTCGTGGCAACCCTTTCTTTACGACCATCACATCCTCAAACTACTCTGTCATATCAACTCCCATCCACCTATTGGCCTACATCAGCATCGAAACTTCCTGACATTCTTGATATATTTATTTCTTCCCGTCCAATATTCCATTTACATACTGACATTCAAGCACTCAGTGACCATTCTTCTGATCACAGTCCCATCTTCTCTTGGACTCTCTACCACATTCTCAACTGAAATCTTTTTAAAAACTGCTTGAGGAAAAAATATCACTGAAAACAAAAGACGAACTAGATATAGCCATTAATAAATTCACTGACTAATAACGACCAAACGCCGAGCACGCACCAAATGGCAAAGAACAAGGCTACCGTCAGACGAACAGCATTACAAAACTTTAAACCATCAGTTAAAACGAGAACTTAAAAAAGACATACAATTCGAAAAATTTACTGCACAACTTACTAATTGAGGACAAATCAATCTGGTCTTGCACTAAACGGCTACTGTTCTACAATAGAAATTCTCTTCACTACGACTGGACGAAGGAACATAGACGATTTCGGACGCTGAAAAATCAAATTTAAAACTAAATACATTAATCCATTATGTGTGGTGTTTAGTGACCGTTAGTTAATGATTATTTAGAGATCTTGAGATGCGGTCTGGTGTGATATAGTTTTAGAAAAAGATTTTTTAACGTACCAACGTTTCGAGCTTTATTGAGATCATCTTCAGGGCTCAAACTGTTTGTTTTCTGTGTAGATATGTCATTCCTGTGTGTCGTGTTGAGAGTGCCCAACAACACAGGAATGACACATCTAAACAGAAAATAAACACTTTGAGCCCTGAAGATGATCTCAATAAAGATCGAAACGTTGGTACGAAAAAGAAAATGTTTTTCTAAAACCTACGTCACACCATAACGCATCTCACGATCTCTATATAATAATTAATCCATTATGTTTAACGGTCTAATAGCCGAAGGTCGTGGGTTCGAATCACACTCGTGACACTAGCTTTTTCATCTCAACCAAGACCTTACATAAAAAGAATAATTAATTGAAAGAACTAAATACATTGTCAATATTTTCATTCCTCACTCTGGCATATTGGAGCAAACACACTCAGACCAGATATACACGATTTTAGACGAACCTTTACTCTTATCTCCTCCTCCGAAACCTATCTAAGTTTTTCTAATGGTCGAACGATGCTTAAAATTATTATTGATCACTACTTTGTTTAAACCTCACTGTAGGCGAGAATTGTCATACTGGTAGCACGTTACGCCGTTGGAGGCCAAAGCCTTTGGATGGCATTTTCCAGAGATGGTTGCGTCGGTTCCTACGCGCTGGTGGGGATGCCCGTCATGCTCCAAAGATCCCTCAGTAACCCGTTGGCATCCGTTCGGCCTCTTTCACCCGTCGTTTCTCCCTAAAAGATCCAGTCATAATCACGCGTCTGGCCAGTGCCGTTGTCTCGCACTGACCTTTTTCAGTGCTTCTGTGCTCTCCCCTGTGAAAACGAAAGAATTTCTCGTGTCAAACAGTGGATTTTGTGCGATCACCAAGAGGGATTTTATTATGATGACAAGAAAACTACTCTCTGTCATCACTTAGAATTATGTCAAAAACTATTAATGCTTATAGAGTGTAAGTAAGGTTATTTAATTATATAAACTCTCCTACTGTTTTTTAAAAAATATTTATTATAGACTAAAAGTCATTGTGTCATTCCAATACTACTATATTGAGAACGTTTTACGAGTGTTAATATTTTTATTAAAAAATAAAAATAAAAATAAAATACCAAACAATGTGTCAAAATAGATAGGACATCTTAAAACAAACACGACTTGTGCTAACTTTAATCTAATAGTGTTCGTTCGCTGTCCGGCCGCGCCCCTGTTCGTGCATATGCTAATTGTAATTAATTCACGTGTTTTTTTAGATTAAATTTACAAGGCTCCTCCAGGGACTGGAGAAACCGGCGAAATTATCGTAAAAAGCAAAACTTATCGTCTTTCTATTCAATATTGTAATTAGCGAGAAGAAAATTTAGCTAGTATTTTGTTTAATTGTCTATTCATCTGTTGGTAACGGCGTCGTTCCGTTTCGCTTAGTCTGAATTCCCTCGTGTAAACGACCCCTTCTGTTTAGCCGCACTGAAATAACACCTGACTTTTTCCTAGGCTCCTTATGTTCCATTTTCACATCCTTTTCTAATTCCGGTTCAGTTTTGAAATAGCTGACAAGACGTTTTAGAACAATAGAGGTATTCTAAAGGGCAGAGGGAATTTAAATTCAAACTGAAGATATTTTTTCATTGCCTTCCTTTAATGTTCAAAAAAGATCAGTTTGTTTACTTATTCCTTCTTGAGTGTCAATCTAGTCGAGGGGCGATTGAAGGTATCGACCCATTGATCGTCCTTGTGCAAACTTAGTAACAAATAGCTTTCCACTTTTATAACAGTAACAAATAGCTTTCCACTTTTATAACCGTGCCAGAAACATAATCTCACGTTAAATTGTACAGGTACAAAAAAGGCAATTAATGTTACACAAAACACAGCGTTTTGAACTCAAGGAAATACAGAAAATTCAGCAAAATGGAGTTCAGCAATTGTCATTCTTTTCAAATTACCACCCTTTTAGAAAGATGTACCGGGTAATCATTAAACTTTCACTTAACGGACACGATCAGTTATTGAAGATGAAGAAGTGAAAATGGCTAGAAGATGCATTAAAACAATAATGAAGAATTGATTTTATGCGAGAAACTTGAAAATATCCATTCGTAGCTGTTATATAAAGGTTATAGGCAGGTGGGGGTAATTATTTTTATTTCCGGCGTCCGAATAATGAGATGTTTAAATAGAAATCTTTGTGAAAACGCGTCGAAGAGACCGACATTTCAAATTGAAAGTTATAAAATCAAGTTTCAATTTCATTCAGATTGGACTGCCAAATTTATTCCAACAGGCTCATTAAGATTCGCAGAATTATGCAAATTTACAAAGTTTTGGGTTAAACGGTTTAGGATAAACTAATTTTTACAGGCTTTCATTATCTTCAACTGTGAAGTGGAAATTTCGAATTTGTTGGAAATAAGGATTCTTTAAAACTACAATCGGACATCTTCCATCTAGGGATTTTCAGGTTTTTCGAAGTGACAGTAACTGCATTGCGGAGGAACGTGAATCAGTTCTGTTTCAAAAACGACGTAGACCACTATTTTTCCTTCTTCGCATAGGGCTTTCAGAAACAATACAAATTGAGTCAACTTTTTTTGTGGGAGTTTCTTTAGCTTTAGATGCATTGGGGTGCAGTATTGATCAGAAAATGTTCCCCTTCGCACAAAGTAACCAGGGGTGTAGAGGGTGAGTCACCCTCAGAGTCGTTCAGGGCTCCTCTTAGTCGGGGGCATAACAAATTCAGGCCTCTCCTATTCCTTCGATCGGCCGCCCAATTAATCTAATTTGGATGATATAAATTTTGCGTTTTAATAAATATGTTACTTATATGCCGAGGTCACGACGAAGCCACCGAGGAGGTACAAAAAAAAAAAAATTAAAAAAAATTGGTTGCTAAAAATTCAGTCCTTGTTTATAAAAAAATTATCTACGTTAAATTGCATGGAAGTTAATTTTTTGAACTTAATAGAAAAAAATAAATAAAATCAAGCTCAAACCTTCGGAAGATCGTATTTTTACAAAATATGCATGTTTCAGAAAATATTTCACAAAATTTCGTTAAGCATTGTTTATTTTTCAAGTTAATTATTATTTCTTTCTAAGGTTTTTGGTCGAAGTGAAAAATCAGTGTCTCGAGCGGGATTCGAACCTTAGGCTCAATACACCGCTGATCAAACCACTTGAGCTATGGTGACTTCAATACAACCGTTTAAATTTCCCATCTTTTTGCTATATTTTCAATTTTTTTAACTCGACCTATTTTTTTCAACATCTTTTAGTTGGGTGTCATAGGATATGTCACAACGAGGACGCTTTCTTACAAAAAACTATTTCCTTCCTGTGGCTAAACATTTCAGTTACTATTTATAAAAATTATCTACACTGAAATACAAAAAAGTGGTCACCCTTAATATTTTTAATTGCCTCTTAGATTATCTTACAATATTTGGTCCGTTTTAAAGGATTGTAGGTTAGTAAAACACAAATAAAATCTCTACTTGTGTTTACAATTGGATTTTTTATATGAATCTTTGAATAGTTGGTGGTTTGATTTTTTTAAGTTGGACCACTTTTGAATTTCAAATTTTTTTTAGTGATGTTTCAAGTGATGTAGATTTGACTAAAATAGCATTGTTGGAAGATTGAAGAAGCAAAGCCAGGGTGCCTAACATTCCCAGAACATAATTTGTCTAAGTTGTGAGGAGAAGTCAACAAGTGGTCAAGAATGAGGTAGTTTAGAAAAACACCTTTTTCATTTTTTTGCCGACGTTTCGACCTTTATTCGGGCCATCGTCAGGGCATAAAGTTTTGTGCTATTCTTGTGGTGTCATATTGGTTTTACGTGAAAGTGTGTAATTTTGTGTGAATAAAGGTCGAAACGGCGGCAAAAAAATGAAAAACGTGTTTTTCTAAACTACCTCATTCTTGACCACTTCTTACGACTTCGACAAATCATGAAACCACAGGTCACCAAAAAACACACATTCCCAGAGCAATTGCCCGAAGGGTCTTCCATCGCTACCATGATACTGGAAGACTAGTATTAATTGACCTAGATTCAGCTATAGTCATACCATTGTTGGAATGGTGCGATGTGGCCAGGGTGCTTAACATTCCAGAACAGCTGCCCGAAGGGTATAGACCTAACAAGATACTGGAGGTTACTCAAGAAGCCATGGGACTAGGTCGCCATCGTTTCATATCTTAGAGACATGATCGTTTTATTGTTTGAAAGTACTCCGTAATCGACATTCTACCGTTGTTGAGATCAAACCTCTACTTCAAGTTAGAAATGTTATCGACAGTTTGCGCACTGTAAGGCGGAGATTTTCAGAAGCTGTATTACGTGCGAGAAGACCTCCCACTCTTCCAGAACTTTTCTCCTTTCTTCAAGCTCACAAGCTCAGACCTGCTCGGTTGTTTCTCATCAATCACATCAATTGGTCTGGGCAAGATTGGACTAAAATCTTGTTTTCGGATGTGTCAAGGTTTTGTTTGAGGTCTTCTGACGCCGAGAGAGGGTTGGGAAAAGAACATGAGAGAGCAACTTGTCGAAATTTATGTAAGGCCAGGATAGGACACTTTCCCAACCTTATTCCTATTTTGCCCCCAACATCTGTTGCTTGGATGTCATAGAAAACAACACCAACTTCGTAGGTGACATACAATGTTAAAAGTTGATATACAAAAACTGATTTCTCCCTACTGTTAAATAATAAAAATAAGCTATTTATTTAGTTTTTACTACAAAAAACCAAAAATCAAATGGAAATGTTTTTTTGTGCAATTACCACACACATATCATTTTCGAATGCGAAACAACCACTTAATGGAGATATGACCTAGGAAATGAAGAAGAATTGCAGCAATTAATCGGTGACCTATAATATTTCTTAAGAGAAGGATTGACTCAGTTGAACTGAACTGAAGAACTAGAAAAATTACAATAAACCTGCAGTACTTGAATGTGCAAGACTTACTAGCATTCTTTCATTATCATTATCCCTCTCCCACCAGCTAATGTAATCCGCTATCTTGAGCTCCCACCAGCTAATGTAATCCGCTATCTTGAGCTATATACTACATTCATGGAACCCCTCGCGACTCAAAAGGCAAGAAATCAAGCTTAAGACTTCTTAAAAGACTGCCGGACAAACGATTAAAAACTGACCCTACAAAAACACCCGGTACATCAGCAATTTGGACAAACGGCTTCGAACTTGGTTCAGCCAAACCAATAAAGTATATCTAACACGTGCAGTCCTAAATCCTCCGAACCATCGCCAAGGCTCCTTTCTAAGTTCCAGTCTTACTATTCACCATGACCTTAATGTTGAAGAAACCAAAAGAAGTTACAAGTACCATACACCTTACTAACCTCCTCGACGACTGCAACGTTTGCTTTTGTTTTCATTTTTCAAAAGTTGAAGATGAACTTAATAGAAAACTTTTTATTAGGTTTCGTGTTCCGCTTGACCAAATAAATTCTTTTCAATTAATTAAGGTTTTGGTTGAGATAAAAAAGTCAATTGACCATTTAAACGTAAGTAATTTGAAAATGGCAAAAAGAGGGAAAATTCGAATGGCGGTTGTAGGTTGAGACGTAGAGTTGGTGTCCGAGAGGATCGAAGTCACGATAGCTCAAGTGGTAGAGCAGCGGCGTATTTAGTCGAAGTTCCTGGGTTCGAATCCCGCTCGTGACACTGACTTTTTTATCTCAACCGAGACCTTGCATAAAAGGAATAATTAATTAATAGAATACCTTTAAAAATCAAGTCCTCAAATGTGTGTGTTTCTGGCAACTTAAGTTAACCTATTCTTACACTGACCTATCCGTTTCCAGCATCTTTTCGTTGGATGTTGTATAAAACTAATTTAATACCGACTTCTTGATGACACAATATTAATGAATATATTAGTTTCACCATTTTATAAAACATTATTATAGAATAGGTTCTT